GAAAGAGTAGAAGGTTTACCTACTCTGGCAATATCGTCCTTGATACGTTCCGGCAATCCATTATAGAAAAAACGACGAAGTGCAGCTTCTCCATAACCATGAAGTTGGGAGGCATGTTGGTTGAACTTGACAATGTACTTATTGATGTGGTGCCCGTCCTTCATGTCCAGGGTCATTAGTTGAACTTTGGCGTCACCCACAGGATCGTGAGGACCGAAGTTGGTTTGAAGGACCCATATGAACCGGCTGGCCCTCCCGATGAGATGGTCAGCAAACCCAAAGACGAGGTTGTCTTCAGGCGCTTAAATTTACAAAGGATGGGTATGATTGACCCATCCAAAAACAACTATGCCCTTAAGTTAGCATTGGCTCAAAGAGCCGACTTGCTCCTCTCTGAGGAGCAAATCGTCACTGAGCTGGTAGATGAACCAGTTCATCAGTTCAAGACTGAGGGGCAGTTGCCTCTCCCAAAGCCGGAGACTGATATAGTCCCAGCAAAAATCACCCACTTATGTTTGATGCAAAGTTTAGACTTTCGTGTGAGGCAGGTAAATACCCTACCGATCAGAGTGCTGACTTACATCGCACCCTGACTGGCCTCATTGAGATCAATGGGACCAAAGCATTCACATTGTTTGATAGTGGGGCAGAAACTGACACATTGTCCCCTGACTTTGTCAGAGCATGTCACATCCCACTCCTTGAGCTTCCCAATCCCCTCATGCTCCAAATGGGCACCAAGGGGAGTAGGTCCTGTATTTACTACAGGACCAATGCTGATCTGACCATACTTGGTCAGAAAAACAAACACTACTTTGATGTCATGAACATCGAATGTTATGATGCCATTCTAGGTGCTCCATGGTTGAACACCTACAAAGCTCTGCTGGACTTCAGCAAGCACACTGTCCATGTGAAGGGTGGTCTTATTCCCACTTTTGATGTTCTTACAGAACGTTCCTTCATGTCAACTGGCCACCAGGCCCATTGAAATTTCACTAGCCTCTCAAAGAGGCCTTCACCCATAAGCAACTGTGTCTGCTTCAACCAACCCACCCAAGGTGTGACTCAATAAGGTGAAGGAGACTTCGCCATCCAATCACTCTAGGGAGGAGCAGGGTCTTCATAGCATATCTGCTATGAAGGCCACGTCCAATGCATCCACAACAGAGACATTAAATTACCTGGCTCACTGGCCTGATCCCCAGTCTGGGAAGTTACCAGACTGTTCTCATCTCAAAGGTTGCCCAATGATGGACAATGGTTTTAGCACCCTCTGCAACTGGTGGAGGTTGCAATTTGAGGATGTCATGGTGCCTGCACCTGAGATCTTACCTCCCTTCCAGGAGGTTAATCACAGGATCAACTTTATCAATCCCAATAAAAGGTCATGAGAGGTGTGCAATGTGCCCCCAATCTCTCGAGCAACAGCTATGAGAGAAAACTCTTCGATACAAGTGTGCAGGCTGGTGGGTTCACCAACCAGCTGTTATGGCATGCCTGTTACTATGTCTCCCAAAGAAGGATGGTTCAATAAGAACCGTTATTGACGTGAGGAATTGTAATGTGAATACAATTCTCAACGTCACACCGATGCCTGACATGTGATCCATTATGGATAGCTTGGCCAGGAATTCATATTGATCAAAGTGATATGACAAATGCTTACTGTCAGGGCACACCCACCTGACCCGGCCCCACCCGGCCCCACTTCACCCGGTACCCCGCCACCCAGTCTTCCCCTACCTCCTCCCCCCCTTCTTCTTTCTTTCTTTCTCCATTCCACTCTCTCTTTACTTATCTCACCTTCTCTTTATTTTCTCTTTATTCTACATGGACGACCTTTCCTTGTATCAATGTACCATTGACCCACCTGCAGCGCACTCACGACACGCCCAGCCCGGGCACCTCGGGCGACCCCCACTATGTCCAGCTCGCGCGTTCACAGCGGACGCCCTCAGGATCCCCCACGGGGACACCCGGGTGACTATGGCTGTATGCGAGGATGACGTGGCACCTGTCATGTGACCTAAGCCGCATGTATATAAACATACCTGAAGTGGGAACCGAAGAAGTAGCCTTCTTCTCACCCTTTTCCACTTCAGTCTAAGTGGCCAGGGACTGCCTCCTGAGCCGGGCCCGCCAGTACGCACGCCCGCTCCACACCCCGTGAGGCTTCTAGTGTCGGGCGTCTCACCAGGGCCTCCTCTACCCCGGACGCGTCCCTGACACTTACGAGCAAAAATTCATGTGGAACCTGAGTGCATTCCATGCACTGCATTTTCCACTCCTTGGGGCATGTACGTTTCAAACATACTCCAACAGGGGGACTGTAATGGTCCCTCCATGTTCCAGCAGACTCTGTCATGGGTCCTCTGGGATAATATTGGGTGGGCTGTTCACACATGGTTTGACAACATTTTTACAGGAACCGATACAGTTTCCGAACACAATGAGAAACTTCAGTGGGTGCACATCCAACTGAAGGCTGAATGGCTATACATTGTCATATCCATCCCTGGCCATCGACTTCCGGTCCCTCCGATCCCTCCGATCCAACTCCGCTCCTCCCTCACTAACCTCGGAGCCCCCGTATCCCGCAATCCTCTTGGCATCCCTCGATGGTCACCACCCCCTCATTTCAATTTATTACCTACGCCTCCCTAAGTACGGAGCCCCGAAGACTTCCGGACAGCTCCGACGTCCGCTAGCGCACCCCCGCCTCCACTGGGCAATACACTCGCCTGCCCTGCAGAGCCCACCTTTGGGCCTATCCCTCCTTTCCGTTTCTGGGTTAACGCCTGCCTTTCTGCTAACCCCGCGAACCGACTCGTCGGTAATATTCAGTCGGCTAATGCTTAAACCCCGTTAGCTCCGCTCCGTTCGGCTCCGCCAATTGCGGACCCGTCCCCGCTGTAACCATATATATATCCCACTTGTACATAGGTTACGCCCCAGTAGAAAAATCAACTAGAGTTACCCCCTAGGTTCTAATTGCCAGTCAGTAAGTTAGGGCACGGACGTGTCACTAGGCACAGCGCTCTTGGCAGAAGTCGCTGAGGCCGAAGCCCTCCGTTACGGAGACATTCCTTCGTCTTGACCCTGGTCTCTGACATACATTAGCCATAAGAAATTTGAACCGTTTTCCCTGGTTCTCGACATTCTGGGGTGCAAGGTTGACGGCCATGGGGTCCACATGGACTCTAATAAAATGGTGAAGCTTCGTGCTTGGCACAAACCTTCAGACCATCAGGAAGTGCTACGCTTCCTAGGCCTAATAGAGTACCTTGCTTGATTCATGCCTAATGTTAGTGCATACACTGGTCCTTTGCAGACCATTTGCACTAACAACCTGCCCTTCTTCTGGTTGCTGCAGCACCAGAAGTGTTTCGATAACATAGAGAATCTTTCAAAGTGGAATAGTATGTTTTCAGATCTTGAATCATTGACCCCAAAGTAACATTGGAATGTGCAGGGAATTGGGCTTTGTAAGAGAAATCAAGCAGTGCACATGTCGCTTTCACAATTCTTGGATTTACACTTTCCTTCCCCTTCTCATATGCTCCTGCGATGATGATGCCTAGATGGCATCATATCCATACATACCCGATCCTGATTTGATTTCCAGACCCTCCACTTCACCACCTCTGAAGTCCTACCCTATCCCTGTCTGCTCTGATATCCACCTTTGGACCTGACATCACTCCTCTCCTTGCTCCTCTCCTCACTCCTCTCCTCACTCCTCTCCTCACTCCTCTCCTCACTCCTCTCCTCACTCCTCTCCTCACTCCTCTCCTCACTCCTCACCTTCCATCCCTCTTCCACCAACCTCTGCCAAGTTACAGCCTTCCACCACCATCCCGTACCCTGTACTCAGACACCACTTGTACCTTCACTCCGAGATTCTGTCATGGTCCTGACCTCGGACTTTGACTCCACTTCAGCTTAAGTCCATTGCATTGGTGACCTCATTCTACATAAACACCATTGCCAATATCCTTTGGACTTCCAACCCCATCTCCATAAGCTTCATAAGCTCTGCCACCTCTGAGCTTCATGGACCAATCTCGGCACTTTTGCCATCTGTGGTATACATTCTGCACTTCTCCCTCATCCCTATTTGGACTACTGCTTCTTCCCATTTAGCCAGTTAGTCATCAATCCCACTTCACCTCATCCTCCTGCCCCTCTGGGCTTTGCCCCCTTACCTCCTCTCAGATGTGCCATAGAGTCTAACCCATGACCCTCGGCACTGCACCACTTCCATTATCCCCTTTGTCTCCATTCAGACACCTTTGTTCCAATCTCAGTCTAAAATACGACCAGAAATGCCCCCTAGAGACTTCCTTCTAGCTATGTCTGAAATTAAGGACCAAATGGACCAACAGCAATGGCACTTGAGTTGCTGAGGCCAAGGTCCCTCCTTGCTAAGTCTCTGGTTCCACTCTGGAATTGTCTGCACTCGCCCCATTCTAACAGATGGCACTGAAGATCCTGATTTTCACAGCCTGACCACTGGGATATTTTTGATATCCCCTGGTGAAATGTATGTTGTCCCTTCCAGTACAGTTGTGCAATGAATCGAGCATCAAGTGAGTCTTTTCCAATCGAATTTTCGATCCATGTCTTTGGATGGTGTTATAAAAATGGGGCCTAATTGGCCCATTTCTGTAGCGTTCAGGTGCAGGAGAGGGCCATGACATCGAAATGGTGTTACAGTTAATATGGCAGAGGTTGTAACAAAGAGGTTTACAGGGACATTGACATTGGGTGTTTTTGGTGATAGTTGTTTGTTGGTTAGGTTGTTATTATTTACATGTCACTATGTATTTGTGAAGGCCATGCAGCAGGTCAAGGCAGACAATGCAGCAAATATCCACTGGAAGACCCTCCCAGCAAAGGTTTTCGATGCCTATGATGCCCATGTCTCATGTTCGACATTCACATGTCCAGTTTCCACCAAGGTCTTTGTGTTGAGCAGTGCACTTTGGATAGCTGTTTCAACAAAGACCAAGGAGATCAAGGACTTCTTCAAGATCCGCAATCCAAGCCATTAGAATTAGGATGCAAGTGCAGGTCATTCCATGCACATCAAGCAGGGGCACCGGTCTGATTATGCAGCCTGTCCGATGATGCTCATGAAGTGGCTTCAGGACAATGCGAAGACATTCATGATACAATATCTTCTGAAGGAGACCAGACATTCCCTTCATCTCATCAGCTAAGTGGCTGTTGTCAAAATGTGTTGCCGCAAATTTGCTAATTGGGAGATTGGCCAAGAGAATCCATGCATGCTTGTTAGGTTTGTTCTGGACAGATTTATGAATATTTCGTACACAGGATGCATCTTTTGGTTAGGTGAGTCTTGTCAGAGCCAAGCATTATCGCAAGGATTGTGGAATCGCTGAGCCCCTGCTCAGAGAGTTTGAACTATTATGAAATGAGGAATCTTTTCCAGACTATACTTGATCTACCTACTAACCTGCTCCTCATTCCAGATCCTACTGGAGCTTAGCTCAGCATAGACTACATTTCTTGTGGGTGCCCCATTTCTGTCAGTCACAAAAATCTCCTCTGGCTCATAATCAATAACCTTCTTATAGTCAGGATTACTGAACAGAAATGCTGAGCATGCAATGATGTCGCAGAAATAGAGCTCATGCTGCTCATCTGGGGCATCCTTTAGCACAACTGTTGCATGCTGGAAAGGTGGCCCCTGAGGTAGCAACACTCGGATTATCATGCACATCTCCCTTGCTGAGAAGAAGGACAGATCAAGGTGGCAAATATGGGATTTCAATGTTAGTTTCTCAATTGCCTTCCTTGATAATTGGTGAACTCACAAATTCCAACTGGAGAAATTTGTTTATTTCAGCTTGAGACAGCTTGCACTTGCAGAGCCATGTCAGGGGACGACTCCTGGGTCCCCATGACCCTCCCCTATGGCCCACAACCTACTGTGGGTAAGGAGATGAGAAGGAAGCTAACTTCTCATCTTCCCACAGTGGCCACAATATCAGCAAAACTTCCGGGGATACCCGGAAGTTTAGGGTGTGTGCCCTGACAAGCCATTGAACTAAGTCCCATTCCGCTTTTGATTTCCATGGGCTGTACGGTTTTGCAGTGTTCCCTGTCTACTCCCAAATAGACCATACTGATGTTGCTCTCTGCTCTGCTCTCGCTGGCACTGCCCTTGGCCCTTCACATTGCCAGAACACACTGAATGACAATGCTGTGCCTTTCCATGCACTAAGCCCACAGAATTGTGGCTGGTGTTCCAGCTCAGCATCTGAACTCATGTCTAGGTTGGATGAGTCAGACATCTCATGTGTGAGTATTGCGGGAATCGTCACTGGCATGGGAGTCTTGCCCATCATCTTGTCTTTCATCAACATTGTTTAGGAAATTGTCATCAGTGCGATTGTCAAGATTGCTAGCAAGGTATACAGTGGGGCCAACCTCATTCTGTTTGCAAGAGTCAAATGATGGTTGGAAGCTGGATGATGGTGTTTGTGAAGTGGTCAGTGGGGGTATCTCAGGAGGAAGGAGTAGGGGCGATGTGATTGTAAGTCAATCTATTCAATCTTTGTTTTAGGCACTCTGGAGAGGCTGAAATGTGAGCTTGAAGTGCTTTATGTGACCAGAAAGCTCAACTGTTACCACAAAATTCACACACCCACTCTGATTTTGATTGGGTGGCATCACCCCAGGACCAAAACCCAGCCCCACAAACCACACCCGCTGTCAGGGCAATAGCCCTGAACCCCACGCCATATGTAATTACAAGATACATATATGTCAGGGCACATACCCTGACTAGCCCGGACCTGCTATGCTTCCTGCATGCATTCCTGTGCCACATGCTCCATGCGCTGCATGATCTGGCCCAGGATCCTGCCCTCATGTGACTTCCGGGTATCCCCGGAAGTTTTTGCCATATTGGGGACACTGTGGGAAAGTGAGAAGTTAACCTTCTTCTCACTTTCTTACCCACAGTAGGTTGTGCCTTAGGATAGGCTGTTTACACACAGGGCTGTGGGCTATAGAGAGAGGGGTCATGGGGACCCGGGGTCTGTCCCCTGACAATATAGTCATGTGGGTAAGCGGTAACTTCTGGTTAACTGCTTACACACACTGTAAAATACACATCTTTGTATCACTTACGGCTCTGTGTGCTGAGCTACCCCACTGAGACCTCACACTTTTTTAAGTGTATGTGTGTTTTACAACACAACCCACCAAATCTATCACATCTTAGCAAATTGACTCGGTAGCGCTGATGGTGCCTAAACATGCCTGCAAGGGCAAGGTCACATCTGGAGCGATGATAAAGAAAAACGAGCAGGTTATGAAGAAACTGCAATCTCCCATCATGGGAGATTCAAACCAACAGCCATCGTCAGACAACAACAAGGATCAACATGATCTGGAGAAAGCTACCACCTCAGGGCTGGTCCCTGAAGGTTTTAAAAACTTACATGGAGTAAGTGCAGGGCCCAATACCCCTAGAACTCCACGCCACATTGATCTCACCCAAGCTGGGGAAGATCTCTCACCACCTCAGGAGGTGATTGACTTGCATGATAAACATGTAAGCACCGAACAATCAGCCTGAAAAGCTGATTGGATAGAGTTGCAGGAAACTCCATGGCACCACTATCCCCTGGAGTCCTCCCCCATGTCCCCAAGTCAAGCCCCAAAGGCAGACAAAAGGAAACAGAGGGAAGAACCTCCGCATTGCTATCTGAAAAACTACTGGACTCATTCCAGGTTCCATCTGAATGGAGGACGGAAAACCAAGACCAACTTCTTCTCAGGCTAAAAGCCCAAGAAGGAGCAAAGAAATGCCCTGAGAGCAGGGTCTCCCAGAGTGCGGAAGCTCCAAAAGAACTTCCACTGTTTACACTACCCCACGCCATGCCAGACAAGGCAAGGTTCTAACCTCAGAGGAGATCTCTGAGATCATGAAGAGGAGGCGAACCGAAATGAGGGAGTTTGCTGAGGAAGCCCTACGGAAAAGTAAGGAAAAACCAGCAAACAGACCCCTCTATGAAAGGGAAGCACCCTCCACAATGGCCTTGCCTAAACAAAGCGAGCGTGGAGCTTTCACTCCAAGAACCCCTTCTGGAACCCCTAGAAGCAGCAATGTCAACTGGGGAGAGTCACTGCTCGCCCAGCCAAATTTCCTCCTGGAAAACCAGGAATCGTGCATAATAAACGCAATAAACTCGATCCGAAAAAAGATCAAGGAAATGAGCCACAATAACACAGCTCATCTAGAGATAACCCCAGAAAGAATGGCCAATGCAATCGACATGTTGACTGACAAAATCAGCAAGCAGATGGACTTGCTGAAGGAAATAAACTTCTCACAAAATAGTGGGCCACAGGCCAGGACAAAACCAGAACTTGTGAAAAATTCATGAAAAGAACAACCAGTGAAAGTACACTGGAGTATCATCAGCAACTCGACAGATGTTAAGGAGATCCTTCTCCCAAGGAAAGGAGAAGACAATGTAATGGGCCCATCCAACTAGACTCAAGACAGGAAGGAGGGGGGATAGGAACCTCACTGAGGGTCAGGTCTGAATTGGTATATTGGTCCAGTCGAGTCTGGTGCTGATAACTCTCTAGCTACTATACAGCGGGTCCCGGAAGAGTCCGATAGATAAATAAGGAAAGAGTATCACATGACAATAAGAAAACGGAAACATCGGGCTCTAGACACCAGAAATGATATCAGAAAATTAGGGAACATAGGAAATATGTGTAAGGAGTGTGAGTGGATATGGGCTACATGTGATGGATGTGAGGTGCTTGCTGAGGGTAGTAGAATTGTGGGATTTGGCTCGTTTAGGGTGCACTGGCAAATCCCTGTTACAACAATGCCGAAAGAAGGCACCATTCAGAAATCAGGAGGAGAATTGGCACGTACCAAAGGTTCAGCCAAACATCCACCTTCGACGAACCTCTTGAACAGAGAGGTAACACAACGACTCTCTCTCAAAACAATGAGAGAATCCAGATACAACTTCAGGCAAGATTTCCCAAAACTAAAGAAACACTGTGAGGGAAAATTCCCTCCAATGAAAACCCCCCAAAGGAGAGACCCCCATTGGATGGCGACCCTGCGAAGGCAGGGGAGCAAGAGGAGTACCTGGAGAAATGGTATGAAAAGGCCATAAGAATGGCCAAAGTAAGAATACTCACTCCCTACCCAGAGGGAGTGAAGCCTGAAGCTCTAAAAAATGGGCTGGCTTTCCCTGACAAGAAATGGTCAGGGGAGAATGACATGGAATTGTTCTGGCAGTGGTTCACAGAACTACTGGGATTCCTCGCCTCATGAGGATGCAAAGGTCCCCAATTCAACAAAGTCCATCTGGACTGCTTGATTCATGGATTAGGGGGACCCACGTTCGACCTCGGAATAAGACTCCAAGACGAAACTCTCCTCACAGGAGACAAGGGCATGTTCCTTGAAGTTCTCAACATACTGATGAGAACCTTCATAAAAGCCTCTGCCATGTTGAACACGACAAAGAAGTACTGCAACGTCAAATACAAAGCAGAAAAAGGCCTAAAACAGTTCTACTTAGAACTGTCTAAAGCAGTGTCCCAGATGGTGACGCTGCCAGACCAGGCATCCTTCAATGCTAGGTTTCTAAACTACATTCCCCTCGAATGGAAGAGGGAAATGATTGCTCATGACAGAATCAGAGCAGACTTCTCCTCAAATGAGGAGATGTTAAAAGCAATATCTTGTGTAGACGAGATAATCGATGGGCTGAAGATGTCTTCAGCCTACAAATCAGGATATTATACCCAAACAACCACCACAGCAACTATGGGCCATGGCAGAGCCCTCCCATCAGGAAAGAAGGCTGAAGTGTTATAGAAATGGATCTAGAATCTTATGGTCCGTGACTATAGCAAGCAGACTTTGGGATTCCATCACCTTATTTCACTGTCAAACCCCATGCCAAGCTTTCCCACTGGGTTTTGGTGCTGGCTGGGGGATTTGTTGAGTTTCAAGGGATTTCCCTTGACCATTGTAATATTTATATTAGATAGTTATGAGTCATATGACATGTAAGGCAGTTGCCAGAATTGTTCCTTCTTTATCTAATACATAACCCACAAAACCTTGTACTGCGATTGTAACTGCCACACCATTGTGCCACCACTGTAAGCCTTCTCTGTAACATCTGACTTGGTCCATATCGATGTCTACATCGGTATTCTTACAATCTGTGAGAAAACCTCAATGGCCTGGTGAGTGCTCAGACACTGGACCTCACTCTTCCCGCTCCCACCCCCCACTGGGTGGTTGAGCTCCCATTCCTATCCTTCCTGTAGTACCCTACTGGGTCCTATGACCCTTCCTCCCTTCTTGGGAGGGAGAAGTGACTCAGGCAGTCCCAGGATGCCTGGCCACATACCTGCAGGCCCAAATTCCCATGGTCACTCACTACCATGCACTGGTCAACCAACCTGCCTGTCCCAACAAATCCCGCTACCAGTACGCTCCCTTGAGCGCCAAGTAACCAATAGACAACCACTGGGCTACTCCCTCAAGGAGTGCCAACTACCCATGCTACCGGTATGCTCACATGAGCGCCAAGTCACCGCTAGCCAACTGTTAGATGGCTCCCTCAAGGAGCCCCCATTATACCTGCTGCCGGTATGCTCCTTGGAGCGCCAAGTTGCCGCTAGCCAACTGTTAGGTGGCTCCCTCAAGGAGCCCCCATA